TCAGAAAGGGAGGGGCAGTTGGGGCAGGCCCTTGCTGGTCTTTATTACCACGTCGTTTGTCCTTGAGGTGGAGTTGAAAGCTGTCGGAGTGACAGATGGGACTCCTCTTTTGTTTTTTTTTTTTTTAATTTTTAACGTTTATTTTATTTATTTTTGAGAGACAGAGAGAGACAGCGTGAGCAGGAGAGGGCAGAGAGAGAGAGAGAGAGAGAGAGGGAGACCCAGAATCTGAAGCAGGCTCCAGGCTCCAAGCTGTCAGCACAGAGCCTGACGCGGGGCTTGAACTCACGAGCCGTGAGATCGTGACCTGAGCCGAAGTCGGCCGCTCAACCGACCGAGCCACCCAGGCGCCCTATGGGACTCCTCTTTTGAAAAGGCGCCTGTGTTGCTGTTGCCCACAGACGCAGTGAGGCAGTGAGAGTGCTAGTCAGGGGGCTAGCGAGGAGGGACCGCAGTGACCTGAGTGACAGCTGACGGTGGATGGGGCCAGGGTGCTGGCACAGGAGCAGTGAGGTGGGATCCGATCCCCGTCTGTGCTGAAGGTAGAGCCAACATCTACCAAAAGAGTGGTGTGGCTAGGTGGCCCCTGTGGCTGCTCAAGGCTCTGAGGCTCAGAATGAGTCAGGACAGTGCCATGTATACATCAGCAAATGACTTCTGTTTGTCAGACAGGGAGACGACCAAGAGAACGAGGGGAAGAAGTTGGGGAAGCAAGGCAACGTGGAGGAAGCATGGGTCCTGGGAAATAAAGGGGTCACTCATTGTGCTCTCAGAAAACTATAAGGACAAAATTATTTTCCATTTCTCTTCATTTTCCATAGTCTGTCTCCCCACACTAAAGGTAGTCTTTGTGCTGAGGCCTCTGTCTTACCTCCATATCCCCTGCACTAGAATCAAAACAATGCATAGGAAATGCAGACCTGGAACCTAGAAACTGTAGCTGGTACTCAACAACTATTTGGGGACTGGCTGGCTCAGTGAGGGAGAGCTTGGGGCGGCTTTATTATTCTGTGTAAGATAGGAGGGAGAGAATGTGGAAGGGAGGGGAGAGGAGGAATAGGAAAGCAAGAGACAGAGAAGCAGTAGTGAGTCAGAGAGGGGGAAGGAGGGGTGGAAGAGGGGAAGGAGGGGGAGAGAAGAGATCTGCATGAAAACCTGTGAAAAAGGCTAACCTGGGAAGGTAACTAATGGGAGAATTTTCAAGATAATAAAGTGTCCTGTGCAGTCGCCTCCATCACCCCAGTCTTTCTGTGTAATCTTTTAAAAATGTTTATTTATTTATTTTGAGGAGAGAGAGAGAGAGCATGAGCAGAGGGGGAGAGGGAGAGAGAGAGAGAGAGAGAGAGAGAGAGAGAATGAATCCCAAGCAGACTCCTTGCCGCCAGTGCAGAGCCGGATGCGGGGCTCAAGCCTGCTCACGAACCACGAGATCCTGACCTGAGCCAAAATCAATAGATGCTTGACTGAGCCACCCAGGCACCCCACCCTATGTCATCTTAAGCGAATGGACATCATTTACTCTTGGCCACTAATGCCCAGATAAGAGCCTCCCTATGATATGTGCAAAACTTGAAGAATCCTGTCGTGAGGTTTGGCAGGAGTGAAGCAATGAGAGAGGTGAAAAGGGGAAAGAGCTGAAGAGGTGAAAACAAGCGAGTGCCATCTACACACTTAGAGGATTCCCGTGAGAAAGAATCTAGAGCTTTTTCTCAGGCTTTTCAAGATTGCTGCCTCCCCAGCAAGAGGCTGTTCTCAGCCTAGAAGGATCAGGGAGCCTTAACTGCTGCTACCTGCTGGACTTCGCAGGCTTTTCCTTTATGCCCTTCCTCAGGAATGCTGTAGGGTGCTTCAGGATAGAGAGCAAGGAGGTGGGCGAGCAAAGCTATCAGCCATTTATGACGGCAATCTTGGTTCTAAACCTCATCAGTTCAAAGCCTATTCAAAAAACAGAAACAGATAAACAACCCAGGGTTCACTGGACTCACATAACTCTTCCCAAATAGCTGAGTTAGTTTCCTCTGGCTTCTAGAATATCCAACGGCAAGCCTGTCCCTCAGAAGGTTGGTGTGTGAAAGACAGTTTATGTAATCACAATTCTACACTTCAGGTCACCTGGGTGGCTCAGTCGGTTGAGCATCAGACTTTAGCTCAGGTCATGATTTTGCAGTTCGTGAGTTCGAGCCCCTCATCAGGCTCTGTGCTGACAGCACGAAGCCTGCTTTGGATTCTCTGTCTCCCCCTCTCTCTGTCCCTCCCCCACTTGCACTCTCTCTCTCAAAAATAAATAAACATTAAAAAAAAATTCTACACTTCAAGTCTATTGTTTTTAAAATGCAAATTCTAGAAAGTAAAACTCAATTCTGGTAAATCTTTAGGTCTGATGGTGTTACAGTGTGAGATGTGTCCCAGATGGAGTGGATATCAGATTCCCAAGATGGAGAAGGGTTCATTTGGGACTTTCATGAATATTAAAAGTGAAGAAGAAAAAAAGTGAAATGAAATACACGCATTGTAATATCCTGTCAACTGAAAGGGATGTTGCCTTTTTGAGGGACAGTTGAGGATATTACCAAAACCTGTGGGTGTGGCCTTCCTAGTCATACAATTTTCCCCTCCTATAGGCTCACCTAATCCTGTAAATCCACAGGGAGTAATCAGCAAGAGAAAGGGTTTGGGGAAAGTTGTTTTTGTCTTCTTTGAAAGTCTCCTTTTAATTTATCTTTAAAATAAAGACTGTTGTAAGACTGGAATACTTAATATATGCATAGTGCCTGACAGACGGGAGGTGTTTAAAAAACTCCTGTTGTACAGAGCTCCACATCTAGGCAGTTCCGAGGCGCTCCCCCAGGCCCTGGCACTTGAACCTATCCCTCTTCCTGAAAGGTTTTTACCTTTCTTGTTGACTCACAGTGATACTTTGTATACAGCACATTTAAGACAGAAAATGAGCCAAAAACTTGTTCCACCCACAATGACTGTGAATCCATGAATCAAAACACATTCAGCCAGTTCTGTTAATAAGAAAAGGGCAGGGTTTCTGCTAGGACAGCCCAGCAGGTACATAATCAGCTATATAACCTGATGATATGGGATTGA